AGTCCAACAGCCCAGTTATAAAATAAACACGCAGATGCTTATATTTTTTAAACTGTTTGGCCTAATTGCTCAGGTTTCTAGCTATCTAGTTCTTATATCTTAAATTAATCCATTTCTATAAATCTATACCTTGCCACGTGGCTCGTGGCTTACCGGCATCTTCACATGCTGCTTGTCATGGTGGCGGCTGGCAGTGTGTCTCTCCTCAGCCTTCCACTTCCCAGAATTCTCTCAATTCTCCTCTTTGTTAGTCCCTCCTATACTTCCTGCCTGGCCACTGGCCAATCAGTGATTTATTTATTGACCAATCAGAGCAATTTGACATACAGACCATCCCACAGCACACCTGCCCAGAGATTAATGAAATAGAAACAAATAAAACAAGAAAAAGAAGTAATGAGTGTAAGGGATGGGTTTTTTTTTTTGTCTGTTTGTTTTGTTTTGTTTTGTTTTGTTTTTTTTCCAAGACAGGGTCTCTCTGTGTAGCTTTGGAGCCTGTCCTGGAACTAACTTTGGATATCAGACTGACCTCAAATTTACAGAGGTCCACCTATCTCTTCCTTCTGAGTGCTGGGATTCTTTATGAAGATAAACAGACATTTGTCCAACAAACTAAAAGAAGAGATGAAAAATGAACAAGGAATCATTAAAACAGACACTAAAAAATTCAGAATATAATAAAGGGATGCTTTCAAAGTCTTTGTTCTGGGGATAGAGAGTTGTCTCAGAAGTTAAGAGCACTGGCTGTTCTTCCAGAAGATCTATGATTCAATTCCCAGCACGTACATGGTGGCTCATGCCAGTTTATGATCCAGTCCCAGAGGATTAAGTGCCCTTTTCTGGCCTCCATGGGTACTGTATGCACATGGTGCACAGACACACATCTAGTCAAAAGAACATCACACATAAAAATTACTAAGAATAATTATATTTAAAGAATGCACTACCACACAGAGTTTGAAAAATAAGCTTTATGGTGCAAGTCATCTCTTTTTATGGATTTTTGTTATGGCTTTTTTTTACATATCTAATTTCAGTCATAATTTTATGTGTATGGGTTTTTTTTCCTCTATGCCTATCTTTGGATCCAATTTGCAGCTGGTGACTATGAAGGCCAGGAGATGGTGTTAGAACCACTGGAACTGGAGTTACAGATAGTAGGGAGCATTTAGATGTACTGGGAATGGAAGGTGGGTGCTCTGGAAGCTCCTTCAGTACTCTTAACTAGTAAAGTATTTTCCAATCCAAATGTTCTCTTCTTGATTATGTTTCCTGAAAAAGGCAGCCTAGTCAGGGTCAGATACCTGATGATGATTAAAAAGTAGAATTCTCCTACAGGGGAGAGAATTATTATCAGTCAGGGACGAGTTCTCTAAGTACAACATGGTCAGCCTATAAGTCATAAATATACAAATAACAAAAATGGGTTCAGCAGGGTGTATTCATGTGTTTCAGTGTACTTATTCATACATACTTACCCAGGGAGAAAGTTGGAAGGGAAGTATGTGGACAGGAATGGAGGGAGGACAATAATAGGAAAACTGATGTAATATGTTTTAATTAAAAATGTATAGAAGAAAATTTGAAAAAAAAAAAAGAAAGGAGCTAGAGATATGGCTCAGCAGTCAAGAGCACTGGGTGTTGTTACAAGCAATCCAGTTTCCATTTCCAGAACCAACATCATAGCCAACCATATAACTAAACTTCTTTTTAAAAAAAAGGAATGAATGCAATTCTCTACAGTGGTGCCCCAGACAATAGCTGGAGCTAGTTAAAATAAGCTCCCTCTGGTCTTGCACAGAAGCAGCTGTGGCCTTCTTCCTAGCTAGCCTGCTCAGAGACAAAATCAGCTTTGTTCTGAGATTAATAGAGCTCATCATAAACATTCATCTAAGAGTAGAGTATACAGTGCTATTAGGTGACTCTTCCTTGATGTTTTCTGTATTTGTGTTCTTTGTCTTTTATATCTGTGAGTATGGTGGCACTGGTACAGCTATCTTTTAGATCAAATATCAAGGCTGATATGTAGCATAGGCTCCAAAATAATCCACTTTTACAGTGTCATTTACTTGATTTTCAGCTAAGACATTGTGGTACAAAATAAACATGCCATAGACATTTCTTTTTTTTTTCTTCCTTCCTTCCTTCCTTCCTTCCTTCTTTCCTTCCTTCCTTCCTTCCTTCCTTCCTTCCTTTCTCTCTCTCTCTCTCTCTCTCTCTCTCTCTCTCTCTCTCTCTCTTTCTTTCTTTCTTTTTTTGTTTTTTGGTTTTTGGTTTTTTTGAGACAGGTTTTCTCTGTGTAACAGTCCTGGCTGTCTTGGATCTCACTTTGTAGACCAGGATGGCCTCAAACTCACTGAGATCCACTGTAGAGGAGCCTCAAAACAGCTTGACCACAGAGCTGCCATGACAGGCTTAGGGGCCCAGACACAGCTTCTGTGACAGGCTTACTGGCAGGCAACACCCAGACCCAGGAAAAGCCATAAGCTGAAACCACCCAGGGATCCATTCAGGGATGGGGAAGTACCTGACATCCCAAACATTCCAACTAGATGTCCTTGAACCTAGCACACACCTATTTCTCCTTCTTACCAAGATACTCCTAGACAATTGTCAGCCAAACAGGGTCCTGAACCCTGGAAATCCCCTCACCCCAATCTCTGCTATGATAAAAACCCCACCACACCTGAGCTGAGGGCTCTCTGCTCTCACCACTTCATGGGACAGACAGACCAAGCCCCGGAGTATGGAAATGAAGGCTCTTTGCTTTTACATATGGGAATCAGTCTCTGTGGTGGTCTTTTGGGGTTCTGGATATCTGGGCATAATACTACCCACCTCTGCTTCCCAAGTGCTAGGATTAAAGGCATGCACCACCAGCACCTGGCTTGCCAGAGACATTTCTTTCCATTATTTTTATAATTTATATATGTTCCTGCAGGACTTTGAGGTAAGAGTATCCCCAAATGTCCCTGCTTTTATACTGTGATCATGTTCAGAAGTGAATTTGCTAATTGAGCATGCTTAGGAATAGGCAGAACTCTATGTGAATGTGTCCAGACTGCCTAAGTAAAATCCCCATGTTTCGCTTGTTTAGAAAAAGCATTGCTTTGGAAAAAAGTCCCACGCTCTCCTTGCATCCTGTAGGTAAGAAATCTTTCTCACTTCTCTGTCTTGGCTGTTGTGATGGCTATTCTTGGCAGTCAAACTGACTCTGGAATTAACTAAAACCCAAAGAGTTGGGTACACCTGTGAGAGATTTTTTCTTAAATGTTTGAAATTGAAGACCCATCTTTAAACGGGATCATTTGAGGTGATGAGATCCACCTTTAGCATCTTGGTGGCAGTGCACACCTTTAACCCCAGCATGCAAGAGGCAGAGGCAGTCCATTATTCTGAGTTTGAGTCTAGCCTGGTCTACAGACAGAGTTTTGGGCTACACAGATAAACTCTGTCACAAAAACTCCAAAAAGCAATCAAACCAAGAATAAGACCCATCTTTAATCTGGATCACACCTTCTGGTAGTAGGCTACATATATATATATATATTGAAAAAGGAAGCTCTCTTTCTTTGCCTGTTTGCCTTAGCTCTGGTACCAAATTCATTCCTTTACAAGCCTTAGAGCCTAGTCCTTTGGAATTTTGGTGTATATTGAAGACCAACTGAGACATTCAGCCTCATAGAGTGAACAACTACTGGATTCTTCAAATTTCCATGTGTAGACAGACATTGTTGGACTAGCTTGTGAGACATTCTAATACATCCACTTTCTACATATATGGAGAGATTGATTTTTACCAGTCCTGCTCATGTAGAGAACCTTTAATAATGCAGCCATATTTTTTCACTGCTCACTGAGGAAGATATGCTGGCATACAATAGTGCTCATAAAGATATTCTTGTTAGCTCCATTATTCTCTGAGTATTCAACTTACTATGAAGACTACTCTTTTTGTTATTATTCATGGGTCAAGAGTTTTTCCTGAATTCCAGAAGAAAACTTTGAAAGCAATGGAGCCATCATCCAGCCTTCTGGTAGGAGACAGATTTTTCATTGTTTTTTGTTTGTTTGTTTTTGTTTTTGTTTTTTAAATCTGGTTCCTGGATTTCTCTCCTGGTTCTCTGAAGTGCCTCTGACTAACAGGAAAAATAATGTGAGGTCAGGACAAACTCCATTTTTCTTACCTAACAGCTCTAAGATAAAAGCTGTACCAAGTTTCAGAAAACTAGCTAGGGTCCTGGTGAAGGTGACCACTCCAGGCTGGGTAGACTGATGGTCAAGAAATAGCCTTGAAACTAAAACAAAGGCTTAATCCATCAAACTCTATAGTTCAGGGAGAGTTTACAAATGTATTTTGTCTTCTGTAGTTCTGTTCTTGTTCTTGTTAACTGAAGTATGACCCTGGAATGCAAAGGCTTGTACACTCTGAGAACTCAGGGCCGGCCTCCTTCATCTGCATAGCCAGAGTGTTGGAGAGGACCAAGCCTGGCTTGCTTATTATCAATAAACCCCTTTGTATTTGCATCAGATATTGGATCTGTGATGGTCTTGCTTGGGGGTCTCTCGATATTGGCATATCAATACCTTCAGTTCACCTGACCTCAGCATGAAACTACAGAACAAACATCTCCTTTTGTGTTCTTAAATCTCTCTTTAAAATTGTTAATATTTTGGGTACCTTCCACCTGTAGGACATGGAATCATTGCACTCCACCCTGAGTAAATGGCTGTGGAAGCTAGTTACATTATGTCCAGGAGAAAGAATGGGAAGTGCCTATGGAATGCAGGAAGACAGCAGGGTCAGCTATCAGAGCCAGGGGCAAGTGCTATTGAATGCAAATCTCTGCAGTCTGGGAAAGGTCTGGGTCTGGTGTGTTAGGTAGGGTCCGGATCCTGTGTGCTGTGTCTTTAAGCACACTGTAACCCTAAGGGAGGTGCTCTTGTCACTCACGCCTCATTAGCCAATCAGGGACCCCAGCACGAACTTCTAGTCAGAAGCGGTGCAGGGCCCTTCCGGGAGCCGGGTTGCAAAACTGGCTTTGCAGAGACGCTGCCGCCATTGCTTTCATTTGCTGTACTCTGATTGCTGCCGCAGGGAGCTGTGAGGGGGCCATGGTGGAGCAGAGAATTCACGACATGGTGAGCTAGAGGCTGCTTTCCGCAGATGAGGAAGAGCAGATGGGGAGGTGTGGGAGCCAGTGTGGCGGGTCCTCCCGGGGAAGAGAATCTCAACCAGATTCTGTCTTGTGAATACCCATGCGGTCTGTGCAACTTCCTGGACCCAAGCACAGGCCTCGGAATAACTTTGCTCTGTGGGCTACATCTGTGCAGAGCACTAGGAGCAGGGAGTTGTGTGTAGAAATATTTGTAGCCAATAATAACATGCTTTGGTGCATCCGTGGCAGGAGGTTGGCCAAATTGGAGAGATCCAGTTTCTCCAGTATCTTCTAGACATTCAGCACTTTGCATTTAACTTTTTTTTTTTTTTTTTTTTTTTGAGACAAGGTTTCTCCGTGTAGTTTTGGTGCCTCTCCTGGATCTCGCTCTGTAGACCAGGCTGGCCTCAAACTCACAGAGATCCGCCTGGCTCTGCTTCCTGAGTGCTGGGATTAAAGGCACATGTCAGCCAGGCGGTGGTGGCGTACGCCTTTAATCCCAGCACTCGGGAGGCAGAGCCAGGAGGATCTCTGTGAGTTCGAGGCCAGCCTGGGCTACAGAGTGAGTTCCAGGAAAGGCTCCAAAGCCACACGGAGAAACCCTGTCTCAAAAAACCAAAAAAAAGGGCACGTGCCACTGCTGCCCGGCTGCATTTAACCTTTACATGTAAGATCCATTTAGAGTTAATTTTGTGGATGTTGTAAAAGGCATCTCTTGTGTTGGGTAGCATTTCACTACTAAGCTGTGAAGTGGAAGAGTAGAATTGGTGATATAAAGAACTTACCAATGCTTAGAAGATAGTAAGTCTCATAAAGTAGAATTTAGCTGAGGGATGGCTGCCTCTGAAACACCCCAAAGATAAATGTATGCTAACCAGGCCTGTTAGAGTTAAGGATACTAGGATACCCTTTTTTTTTTTTTCACCAGGAGTGTCCAGACATTTGCCTCCAAACCATTACAAAGAGGAAACCCTTGATTTACAACCAGCCATTAGGTTCATATATCTTTCAAAGAACAGGCCTCCAACAAGCTGCTCAGTGAGGTCACAGCCTACCTTAAGGCCTCATGTGCTTTAAAGTTCCAGTTTTTTTTTTCCCCTAGAGAAAAGCATAGATCTGAGAGATGGGCAGTATGACACCAGCTCACAACTATTTGAAATGTAAAATACCATTGTGTTAAGGACTGGTCTGGTCAAGCAAGGCTTTCATTTAGGCCCTCAGGCAGGTAGGAGGAACATTTTTGGGATAGCTGGGGCCAAGACCTTCAGAGCTTTGCCTAAGGCCTTGATGTATTTAGAATAAAACAAAGCTCCTTCTCTAAAACCAGAACTGTAGAGCTGATGATGGTCTGGGGCCAGGGTCTTCCCACCACATGGAGCTATAGTTATAATTCGTAAGGCCACTGTAGGATTAGTAATGTTCTTGCCATACCCTGTGTTCCCCCTGTGCAGCATTGTTTGATTAGCCTCTTCCTGAGTATGTCCTACTGTATGACAGTTTCATCTGACTTTATAGAAGTGTCTCCTTTCCTTCTATTCCCCCTGGAAGTAGTATGCAGGAAGCTATTCTTCTTAAGAAGCTTACTTGGCATGAGACATAGCTTGTACAAAAACCTCCTCACCCCAGCTTTTATCTTTTCTACCTTCTACTTTTCCTATCTTGCTCATTCCCTGACACCTGCTCCTCAGGACCCTGTCACTGAAGAACGATCTGCTCTTTCAGGACACTGGTGTACTTCAGAAATAATTCTGGTAATACCTTTTCTGTGTAAGTCTTCCTTCTGCCTAAGTGGCTAGAATTGCAGTTTCCTGTTCCTATTTAAATTATTCAAAGTATAACCTGGAGTTTGAATTTAAAAGACACTTATGGATAACAACATATGTGGAATGTTAAATCTACCCAAACTGGTCCATCAAAACTTGGCAGGATCACATATGTTGTATTGACTCTGGAAACAAGAAAGATGCAAAATTTAAAGGTCATAGATTTTTTTTCTGGGGTCAGTTCATCACTATTGTACCCATCTATGTTTGACAGAGTCAAGGCTCAGTGAGGAGAGTATGAGAGTTCATGGTATTTAGCAGTGAAGACAAAGATAGGTTGAATTTGAGGCCACAGGATGTTGAGATATACAAGCTATAAGACATCTGCCATGGAGAGCTGCATATAGGGAGTGGAAGTAATAAAAGAGAGAGATACATGAGAAGTTGCAGTCATAAAACTGTCTGGCCCTTTCAAAACGAAGCCCCTTGTTTCCAAGACATAGTCACAGGATTTGGCATTTGCCCTGCTGAGTTTTAGTGTCACCTTAGTCTTCTCTCACTAGTCCACATTCCTCTCTTTCATTGATTTATTTTTTATTTTTTATTTATTCTTCTCTCATACCAGCTTCAGTGCCTCCTCACTCCACTCCTGTCAGTCCTCCATCTTGTACTCAAACCCCCTCTTCTTCCATTTCCCTTAGAAAAGAGGACCTCTTCATAGGTCTCAACTAGACATGGTGTCTTAGTTAGGGTTTCTATTGTTGGGATGAAACACCATGGCCAAAAAGCAAGATGGGGGGAAAAGGGTTTATTGGGATTGTACTTCCAGATAGATGTTCACTATTGAAGGAAGTCAGGACAGAAACTCAAACAGGGCAGGATCCTGGAGGCAGGAGCCAATGCAAACACCATGGAAGAGTGCTTCTTACTGACTTACTTCAAATGATTTGCTCAGCTTCCCTTCTTAAAAATCCCAGGACCACCACCACAGGATGGTACCACTCTCAATGGGCTGGGCCTTCCTCCATTGTTCAGTAATTGAGGAAATGCCTTGCCAGTGTATCACATGGAGGCATTTCCTCAACTGAGGCCCCATCCTCTCTGATGTCTCTAATTTGGTGTCAAGTAGACACACAAAACCAGCCTGTACACATGGTCTAACAAGTTACAATAAGACTAGACACAAACTGTCATTTCAAGGCTGGAAAAGGCAACCCCGTATGAGGAAAAGAGTCCCAAAGCAAGTAAATAAGTCAAAGAAACAGCCCATATACACACACTCCTCCTTTTAGGGGTCCCACAAAAATATCAAGGTATGTAAACATCATATGCAAAGAAGTTATCACAGACTCCTAGAGGATCCATGGTTGCTGCTTCAGTCTGTGAGCACCAATAACCTTGGGTTAATCAGTTCTGTGGGCTTTGTTCTCCTGGTGTCCTTAATCCCTCTGGCTGCTACAATTCTTCCTCCCCCTTATCTGCAGGGGTTCCTGAGCTCCTGCTAATGTTTGGCTGTGGGTCTCTGCATCTGCTCCCATCAGTTTCTGGATTAAGCTTGTCTGAATACAGTTGGGCTAGCTACCATTCTATGAGTATAGCAAAATATCATTAGGAATTATTTCATTGTTTTTTTTTTTTTGCCAGTCCTGTTAGGTTTTATTCTAGATCTCTGGACCTTTGAATTTCAGGTTCACCCAAGCAGTGTTTGGCATGGGCTCTCCCTCATGGAATGGGCCTAAAGTTAGACCAGTCACTGGTTTTCCACTACCACAAGTTCTGAGCCACCAAAAACCCAGCATCTTGCAAGTAGGACTAATTGTAGGTGGTGGGTTTTGTGGCTGGGTTGGTGTCCCAGTCCCCATACTGAAAGGCTTGCCTGGTTAGAGAAGGCTGTTCAGGCTTCTCAACCCCCATTCCTAGGAGTCCCCTCTAGGGTCATTTTCATAGAATCCAAGGAGTATCCAAAGAGTGAGTTTTACTGCTTATCTTAGAGTTAGACAGGAGAGTGGTTCAGCCAATGAGAGTTATATAACAGAGATTGCACTAGGTTTTCATATGGATTCCCAAATGCCCCCTCCCCTGTTCCAGTAGTCTCTCCCCATACTTTCTCCTTGTATCCCCCCCCCAGCCTGCTCTCTCCTGTTTTCCCCCCAGCGACCCCCAGTCTAATCCAGAAAATCTATTTTATTTCCTCTTTCCAGGGAGGTCCATATGTTTCCCCCATTGAGCCCTCCTTGTTAATTAGCCTCTCTGGGTCTGTGGGTTGTAGCATGATTATCTTTTACCTTACAGCTAATATCCACTTATATGGAAGTTCATACCATGTTGGTCTTTAAGGGGCTCAGTTACTTCACTCAGGATGATATTTTTCTAGTTCCATCCATTTGTCTGCAAGTTTCATGATGTCCTTGTTTTAATAACTGAGTAATATTCTATTATGTAAATGTACCACATTTTCTTTATCAATTCTTTGGTTAAGGGATATCTAGATTGTTTTCAGTTTCTGGCTGTTAAGAATAGAGTTGCTATGAACATAGCTGAGCAGGTGCCCTTGTAGTAGGATGGAGCATCCTTTGGATATATGGCCAAGAGTGGTATAGTGGCATCTTGGGGTAGATCTATTCCCACTTTTTTCAGGAACAGCCACTTTTTTTTGTTTATGTTTTTGATTTTCGAGACAGGGTTTCTCTGTGTAGTTTTACACCTTTTCCTGAAACTCATTTGGTAGCCCAGGCTGGCCTTGAAATCACAGTGATCCACCTAGCTCTGCCTCCTGAGTGCTAGGATTAAAGGCGTGTGCCACCACCGCCCGGCTCAAGAAGCTGCTATTTTGATTTCCATACTGGCTATATAAGTTTTTAAAAGTTATTTCCCATACAAGAACCCTAGTGACGGAGTTAAAGTGTTTCTTAGCTTATGCCATTTTGAGGATAAAAAGATTTTCAGTGACTTGAAATTCTTAGGCCTGCTCTTACTCTCCTGAATGGAATTTTGTTGTTGTTGTTTTGTTATCTAGCCCAGGCTGGCCATCAATTCATGGCAGTTTTCTTCCCAGCTTCTGAGTGCTGGGGATATATGCTATCTATTCCTCTGAATAGTTAAAAGTTGTGTCAGATCTGAAGAGCTAGGTTCACTGCTTCTTGTAGAATTAGAGGGGAAAGTGGTTTAGCCAAAGAGAGCTCTACAACAGAGTCTGCAGAGACTGAGGACGCTTGTCCAC